TTTACAGAGTCAGCATATTGCCCCCAACAACAATCCGGGTCCTCATTTTACCCACCTCGGAAGGATGGAAGGCTGAGTCAACCACAAACGCTTCTGATCACGACCAAAAAATTCACAGTGTGTGTGTGTGTGGCCGATTTCTTCTTCCGCACCATTTTTTTTTTGTAAGCACCGAATTCCCAAAATTAGGTTCGGATCCCGACCAAATCGTTTTGCGACCAAAGTTATGGAAACGAATTTTGGATGTGACCAGAGGTTCTACTGTATGCTGGGAAGTTGAGAGACCTCCTAGAAGAAAGAAAAGTGCAAGGTAGTCCTCAATTTACAAAAGTTCGTTTAGTGACTGGTTCCAAAGTTACAACAAATGTGACTTTAATGACCGTTTTTCACAGGTATGACCTTTGCAGCCTCCCCCGTGGTCATTTGATCAAAATTCAGATGCACGGCAATTCGTATTTGTGAATCAGTTGAGTGCCAAGTTCCTTCGGGATCTTTAGTGATCGAGTTGGGATCAGAACCTAGATCTCTCTGCTTCCCGTCTAATACTGTCATCCCTAGACTACAGATGGTCCTCGATTTACAACAATTGACTTAGTCACCGTCCGAAGTCACAACAGCATTGAAAAATGTGACTTATGACCATTTTTCACACTTATGACCATTTCAGGCATCCCTGTGGTCACGTGATTTACATTCAGGCATTTGACAACTGACTCTTATTTATGATGGTTGCAGTGTCCCAGGGACATGTGATTCCCTTTTACCACTTGGTGACAAGCCAAGTCGAGGGGGAAACTAAATTCACTTAACAACCATGTGACTAATTTAACAACGGCAGTGATACCCTTAACAACCACGGCAATAAAAGTCTCCAAAAAAATTTGGGGGGGAGGAAATCAACAACAACAAAACTCACTTTGCAAATTTCTCATTTAGCCACATAAATTTGGGGCTCAATTACAGTCGTAAAACAAGGACTATAGGATAATAATACAATACAACACAATGCAATACAATACAAGAAGAGAAGAGAAAAATAGAATATAAGAATAGAATATGAGAATAGAATAGAATAGAATAGAATAGAATAGAATACAAGAATAGAAGAGAAAAATAGAATATAGGAATAGACTATGAGAATAGAATAGAATAGGATACAATACAAGAATAGAATATAATAGAATAGAAAAATAGAATATAAGAATAGAATATTAGAATAGAATACAATAAAATACAAGAATAGAATAGAAAAATAGAATATAGGAACAGAATATGAGAATAGAATACAATACAATACAAGAAGAGAAGAGAACAGAAAAATAGAATATAAGAATAGAATATGAGAATAGAAGAGAATAGAATACAATACAACACAAGAATAGAAGAGAAAAGAAAAAAAGAATATAAGAATAGAATATGAGAATAGAATAGAATACAATACAATAAAATCCAAGAATAGAATAGAAAAATAGAATATAAGAATAGAATATGAGAATAGAAGAGAATGCAATACAATACAATATGGGGATAGAACAGGGTAGAGCTGGAAGGGACCTTACCCCCCCAACCCCCTACTCAAGCAGAAGATCCTATACAATGACTGCCTGGGCTGAAAGACTAAAATCCCACAAAATTGCAAATGAACAGCTGTACATATTTTATTTATTTATTTGTTTATTTTTGGTTAGGTCTGCCCGGGAAGTCTTCCGTTGGGAATGAAAGCAATGAAGGAGGGCGTTTTTGTAGAGTCCAGATTGGAAGTGGACCTTCCAGAAGGATATGGAAAAGCCACCCCTCATCTTACGTTAGAAGGCAAGATCAAGCGGCTGGGATGGGTAGCATCACATGAGAACAATGGGGAATCTTGCAAAGTGAGACAACAGCGCTGGGAGGCCCAGTGGCAGGAGTTCCTCAGGACGGGAAGAGGAGGAAACTCCCTGCTGATGTCGGAGGCTTCCCCCTGGGATGACCCCAAGGCCTTTATGGCCTCCTTCGAGCAGGTGGCCACAGCCTGTCGGTGGCCCAGAGGACAATGGACGGCCCGTCTCCGGCCAGCTCTGAGCGGAGGACTGGAAGAGGCCTTCCGGACCTTGGAAGACCGAGACCAAGGGGATTATGGGAAGGTCAAGGCGGCCATCTTGCGGAGGGAATCCCTAAG